TAAATCAGAATGTATTGATATGATTCCTTTTACATCATCATTATCATACTGATGAAGGATATCTGTTATCCGAAATATTCATAGATACTTATATTTATTATAAAAATAATAAGATGTGGTATAATTGCTAATGAGACAACTCTCCACCAGAGACCAAATGACATAGAAGTTAACAACCGTACGGTCTTCAACAATGAGAAAAACCCATACCGCAAAGTCAGTTATAAAAGGCACCGAAATGACAAATGTAAACCAATTCAAACGAGAAAACTAACGACCTGATTCATGTACAAAACAATGAATGAAAAACAACCATTGAATTACAGGTTCCTGACTTGGGACAGGTACATACAACAACAAACGACAACCATTGAATTACAGGCTCCTGACTTGGGACAGTCAAATACAGAACGTGGCAGGGTAGCGCCAACCCTCCCCTAACCTGGGACAGTGGTGTAACAGTACAACATAAGAACAAACTATAAAACCAGTTGAAAAGGGCTTAACTCGTCAGATCGATACAAAGAAGAAACACACATAGTTCCCTCTTTTTTAATATTGGTGTTGTTTTGAACACTTATTTTTAAGTGTTCTATATAGCTTAAGACTACGTCACATAGTAACGTTCGTTATGATGACGTTGTTGAGGTTCTAATTGGGGTACCCCGGCACTTTCCTGAATATATACTGACTTCTCTGTGTTGTTATCCAATCACAAAACTCGACACATTTGTAATCCGTAATATATCTATATTTCTCTAATTCTTCGTCAATTTATCCCTTTCTGCATCCATTGTATAACAAAAATTTAATCAACGTGTGGTTCGTTTGATCTCAGTTCTTCATTGGTTAAAATCCGATTATGACGTCGAATTTTATTGCTTTCCCCTGAATTTCCTATTGTGACGGCATGAAAAAGGCGACCATGCCTGATGACGTAAGGCGACCATGCCTGATGACGTCACATAGAAAGAACACACCTTTTTGCAGATCATTCGAAAAGAAGGAATAAATTTGCCTGCGTATTGTTTGAAAATCATTAGAGAAACAGATTCCACCACCAAATCTCGTGTAATACGATAGTTAAATTTTAAATATCTAAAACGCTCGGCGAGCCTCGCGTTTTAAATTTGAAAAATTAACTGTCTCGAGTGGATAAATATCGTATTACACTCGATGTAGTGGTAGAATCAATATATATATAAAATTGCGGTTTTTGTCCAACGCAATCATAGGTTTGAACGTTGTTTTCAATTTAGACTTGTATATATATATATATATATATATATATATATATAAGTCTAGAGAGTTGCACAACGATACTAATATAAGATGGTATTATACGAAGATGTTGTTAATAAATCGTGTTGACAAATATTTCGGCTTAACAAATAGCCTTCTTCGGTGTCAATTATTTTAACAATACTGATAATATGTATAAAAATAGCTCAATAATACAGGTAAGTTTTGGTCTATTGATTTAATCCAAAATCCTGAACATCATAATATAAAACAAAACTCAATACTCAAATATACGTGACTGTGTATATTTACAACCCAAAATGAGTGAAAAATAAAACTTAGTATTTTTTATTGATGCCGTTTGGATGATGTACATTTAGTTCCTTTATCCAAAAGCTTTCCCGAACCTGTCGCTGGGCATCACTCCAGTGAATGTTCTGTTCAATCACTAGGATCTTCATGCGGTTAAAGTCATCAAGTGTGTGACCAGACTGTCTGAAATGCTGAGAAACTGGGAGAAGTGGCTTCTTAGAGATATCACTCCTATGGCCATTGAGGCGTTTGTGGAAAGGCTGCTTTGACTCACCAACATATTGGAGGCCACAAACCGAACATTCTAGAATGTAAATAACATTCATACTTTTGCAGTTAACATTGCAAAATATCTTATAGTTATTTTCGGTTGCCTTACTGTGAAAAGTTGATGAGTGATGCATCTGTAGGCAGCATTTGCAGCGTTTTTCATCACACGAACGACATTCTCCAGAAGTACTTCTGATATCAGACTCTTCAGCCCGCACCAGCAGGTTACGCAGACTATTGGGTTGCCTAAAAGCTATCATGGGAGGCTCGGGAAAAATCTTGGATAGTTTGGAATTCTTTTCAACTGTTTTCCAATGCTCACGAATGACACCGAAGCTGTTTTTGAGAGATGGGTGGTAAGTAAGAACACATGGAGTCCTTTTATTTTTCTTTTTATATTTGTATTCTAACAGTTTACTCCTTGGAATAGTTTCCGCTTTCTGAAAGCCTTTTTGGATAGTTTTGTGTTTGTAGCCCCTTCTCTTCAAGCGGGTTTCGAGTTGACGTAGTTGTTTTTTAGTTGTTTCTGAGTTGGAACATATTCGCTTGACTCTGAGTGCCTGACTGTACGGGATGCACTTAGTACAATGAGCAGGATGGCAACTTTTAGGGGACAGATATTGGTGAGTGTCAGTAGGCTTAGAATATAGATCAGTGGATATGATGCCATCTGTGAGCAAGCTGGAGGTATCGAGGAAGGTGATTTTGGATTTAGATTTCGCATGAGTAAATTTGATACTTGGATGTATGTTGTTGGCATGAGTGATGAATTTATCTAAATCCTCGTCACTTTTATTCCATTTCATATCCACATCATCTATAAATCTAAAGCAGGAAAACGGTTCTTCGATGGAAGATTCAAGGAGTTGTTTTTCTAATTTGCCCATAAATATGTTGGCATATGATGGAGCCATTTTGGTGCCCATAGCAGTTCCATTAACTTGCAGATAATGGTCTCCATCAAAAGTGAAGTTGTTGTTTTTGAGTACCAGCGTGAGCATTTTGACCAGGCATTCAGTAGGTGGATATTTCACTGGTCGGGAATTCCAAACTTCTTTACATGCATCAATGCCATCTGCATGTGGAATATTCGTGTAGAGGGAGGTGACGTCCATAGAGACAAGTGTCGGAGGGGAGTGGATTTAAGGCCTGCAATTTTCTAAGATAATCGGTAGTATCTTTGATGTAAAGAAGTTTGGAATTCCCGACCAGTGAAATATCCACCTACTGAATGCCTGGTCAAAATGCTCACGCTGGTTATCAAAAACGACAACTTCACTTTTGATGGAGACCATTATCTGCAAGTTAATGGAACTGCTATGGGCACCAAAATGGCTCCATCATATGCCAACATATTTATGGGCAAATTAGAAAAACAACTCCTTGAATCTTCCATCGAAAAACCGTTTTCCTGCTTTAGATTTATAGATGATGTGGATATGAAATGGAATAAAAGTGACGAGGATTTAGATACATTCATCACTCATGCCAACAACATACATCCAAGTATCAAATTTACTCATGCAAAATCTAAATCCAAAATCACCTTCCTCGATACCTCCAGCTTGCTCACAGATGGCATCATATCCACTGATCTATATTCTAAGCCTACTGACACTCACCAATATCTGTCCCTAAAAGTTGCCATCCTGCTCATTGTACTAAGAGCATCCCGTACAGTCAGGCACTCAGAGTCAAGCGAATATGTTCCAACTCAGAAACAACTAAAAAACAACTACGTCAACTCGAAACCCGCTTGAAGAGAAGGGGCTACAAACACAAAACTATCCAAAAAGGCTTTCAGAAAGCGGAAACTATTCCAAGGAGTAAACTGTTAGAATACAAATATAAAAAGAAAAATAAAAGGACTCCATGTGTTCTTACTTACCACCCATCTCTCAAAAACAGCTTCGGTGTCATTCGTGAGCATTGGAAAACAGTTGAAAAGAATTCCAAACTATCCAAGATTTTTCCCGAGCCTCCCATGATAGCTTTTAGGCAACCCAATAGTCTGCGTAACCTGCTGGTGCGGGCTGAAGTGTCTGATAATAGAAGTACTTCTGGAGAATATCGTTCGTGTGATGAAAAACGCTGCAAATGCTGCCTACAGATGCATCACTCATCAACTTTTCACAGTAAGGCAACCGAAAATAACTATAAGATATTTTGCAATGTTAACTGCAAAAGTATGAATGTTATTTACATTCTAGAATGTTCGGTTTGTGGCCTCCAATATGTTGGTGAGTCAAAGCAGCCTTTCCACAAACGCCTCAATGGACATAGGAGTGATATCTCTAAGAAGCCACTTCTCCCAGTTTCTCAGCATTTCAGACAGTCTGGTCACACACTTGATGACTTTAACCGCATGAAGATCCTAGTGATTGAACAGAACATTCACTGGAGTGATGCCCAGCGACAGGTTCGGGAAAGCTTTTGGATAAAGGAACTAAATGTACATCATCCAAACGGCATCAATAAAAAATACTAAGTTTTATTTTTCACTCATTTTGGGTTGTAAATATACACAGTCACGTATATTTGAGTATTGAGTTTTGTTTTATATTATGATGTTCAGGATTTTGGATTAAATCAATAGACCAAAACTTACCTGTATTATTGAGCTATTTTTATACATATTATCAGTATTGTTAAAATAATTGACACCGAAGAAGGCTATTTGTTAAGCCGAAATATTTGTCAACACGATTTATTAACAACATCTTCGTATAATACCATCTTATATTAGTATCGTTGTGCAAATCTCTAGACTTATATAATTTTTTTCCTTATCTGCACAGTATCGTCTATTCTAGACGATCCGGTACATAGTAAATTTTCTGGTTGGTCCTTTTTATAGACTTCTATATATATATATATATATACATCCCTCTCTATTTTTTCGCAATATGAAAAGTTTATAGAATGGTGTATTTCGCTAAACACCGCTGCTATCATACTATATCTGCAGTGATTCGGGGAGAGTTAGGACTTTTGATAAGTCGGAATATTGTTGCTTAAGCTGGATGATTTTGTATACTATAACAGCAATATCACTATTTTTAAAAATTTAATGCAAATAACAAAGTTGGAATATGATTGTTTAATAATTGAATTTATTAACATAAATGACAGTATTATACATTTTCTCTGATATTATATTTTATTTGTGTTAATAGGTACTACTATCTGTGATAACAGGATCATTGGTAAGTGTTAATATCTTAAATTTCTAATTATTTTCTATTCATCAGTGCGTTTGTTGGTTTGGAAGCCTTTTCGAATAATTTTCAAGAACATATTTCAATGTGTTTCCAAATTTATATTGTAAATATACACATTGCAGTTATTTATAAATTAAATAAGAAAATATATATATTATACCCTTAAACCAATCACAGTGCCTCTAAGTTGACTTCCTTATATTATACCCTTAAATCCAATCACAGTGCCTCTAAGTTGACTTCCTTATATTATACCCTTAAATCCAATCAGAGTGCTTCTAAGTTGACTTCCTTCACCTGCATTGGTTGTACACAAAAGGCCAGCCTAAAGTCGGGAAAATGTAATACTACTTTTTTCTCTTTATCATTTTACGCAATTTTAAGTGTCATTGTACATTGCCTATTTGTTTGATGGTTGAATCCATCATGATTAAAGACATGCAAGTGTTTTCTTTCTTTATTTCTGTTCTTGATTGTTTTGTCTTTTTTGTACTGTCTGATATGCAGTGAGCGCTGTCTTGTCGTTTTTAAGTTGAGACAAGTTTTTGTTTCCATATAATTTTAACATGAACACCTTTCACTATGATTAGTCGTTTGCAAAAGAATTTCGACATTTTAAATTTCCCTTTTATAGTGTACCTTTGCATTAAACAGTTTTCCAAAGTATAAGTATGAAAAATCATTTTTCATACGATGATACAATAATTTATTTGTTTTCTCTTTATGTATATTTCAGTCGGCAGTCCTGTTTGATCCAAATATATATAATCCATTTGTCACCTATCAACAAACAACGCGACCTCCAATAGTCATTAATCCGATGTTTTATCATATAATATCACCCGGAACCTCTTTATCGACTGCAGCGACATCTGGCCAGACGACTACAACAGGTACAACAACAGAATCTACAACTATAACAACAACACCTCTACTTACAACACTACCTCCTAACTTTTGTAGAACATCAGCAGATTGTCCATTGGGATCTTGCTGTCGAGATCTAAACAAACAAGTTCTTGTGATGTCAGAAGTATTTGATGCAACAGGTAAGAATAACGTGCTTGAATATATATATATATATTTATTTATTTAATCGTTGGTTTAAATGTAATACTTGTAACTGCATTAGATAAGCCTCACTGTCTGCATCGTTGTCCTGCGATAACATGATTTCTTCTGGAATTATGAAGGAATTTGAATCCCCTTGCTCTTGCATTTTCATGCACTCTTTGATGGCGGTGATGTATTTTGTAGACTACTAGATATGATTTTATTCAAACAGTCGACATCTCGTAGTCTAATGTATTATGTATCTTTATCAATATGAAACTATTCTCTCGATTAAAGACTTCCGTATGAACTATATTTGAAGTATTCGCAAAAGGTAACAAACTCAATTCTTTTAACGGAGTGTTACGCAACATCTATTTCAGTTGTCGTTTATGTTTATATTATAACATTTTTCGTTATTGAACTAGCAAATGTATCTGTTTTAATAAATTCATCTGGACTTTTCTCTTCCGACAATGAGATCCTCGCTGAGGGGACTCGTTCGTTTGACTGAGCGGAATGTATCATTACACAGCCACGTGGAAACAAATCATATCCTTGTGTCAGTATAATGTCATGCCTTCTGTACGCCAAAGAACGCGGTCAACAACTCTTTTAATGGTATGTAGGTGATCTGTTTCATCTTTATGAAAAATTGTTTAACTATTAAGGTTGTAAGAGACATTTCCATTGTTTTAACGGTTACAATAGTTGACCGGGGTAAACAAATTACATCACATAAACTTTTCCGGTACGTCAGAAAGACCTGTGAGGCGTTAGAATAATTGGTAGGTACAAATACGACACGCTGTACATTACCCTAGCCAGAATGATAGTAACAGTTGCTGGTAACTTTTTAATTGCAGAGTTTATGTGATATTAGGATCGGTCATGTGGTAACTTCCTGATTGCCCGATATTTTGATCGAATATGTTATTATTAATTAGCAAGACATCGGAGTTACTTCATTTGGCAAAACTTTTAAATAGAAAAGTTTTTTTTTGGTCTGGTATAGGTTTCGATATGACGTAATTTACTTTTTACCCTGACTCGCCCACCTTTGTATTGATGTTTAATTCACCCTATAAGGAGCCGAGCATTTGATTTTCCTGGGGCCTGGAGGATTTAGGAAATGAATATCCTGGTCTGGTAGAACTGAAAACATAATCTTGCCAATTGAATAATATGTTCTGTCAGCGTGAATCGTTAATTTTGATGCACACATACTTGCACTATGGAATATATGCAGCCGTATTAATGTTTCGATTTCCAGGCTAACAATCATCATGTAAAATAAAGATTGTGAAAAAATAGATCAATTATTATAAAATTATAGCGTACAAACCGTCATGATCGGGTTTATCATTATGAAGCAATTCACATTTAGGAAATAAAATTAGAATTTATCCTCATAAATTTTACCTTCCCCTTTTCCTTGCTTTCTTACAAGCTTACTGTTTGTGTCATATGTGTACATGTACATTGGCCGGTCTGGATATGATAATACGGACCGTCAAACAGAAATAACCTATAAAACATGTAAAAAATAATATTGATGTTTATATAAACCCACTGTTAAGGTTTTATTAGTCATCAGATGCCTGAAAATGAATCTAAATGTCATTTACTTTTATATTTGAAAAATCCACTGGGCCAAAATGCGAAATAACACTTCGAACTGTGTATAGCTACTTTAGATGCAAGGTTAATTCTTTTTATGTCGAAGATATATTCCATATCGAATCAATCATATTTTTGGTAGCGCGGAAGGTCATGGGTTTCATCACCGGGCAGGATGTATTTAGATACATTGTTTTTCTTCTAGACAGGGTTCACGTACTTGATTAACTTTTCTTCTTCTTCAAAAATAGCATGATTGAAAGTATTGAAAGATAATTTCTCTCACGTCTGATTCATTTGATCTCAGTTCTCCATTGGTTAACGTGTTTATTGCCTACCATAATATTTATTCATTTCAATGAGATATTTTTCTTTGAGTATATTTGCTTAACATCACGTGGCAAGTATTTCATGGATATGCATGAGATCTTCTTTAATCAGAAAACCCTATTACTAGTTCAACTGCATAATGAGGAATCAGCGACGCATATTAGAATATATATATATATATATATGTATAACAGTTAACAAAGTAAACAAAGACATATAATTTTCAGGTCCATACAGATCTAGAACTGCAAGAAATGGAACATGTTCCAACTCCAGAGCGCAGCTTGGAGAACGATGTAATGACTTCTGTGCCTGTGAAGTTGGTATGTAATGTTAATATATATTCATAATAAGGACAATATTTTAAGGTAAGCGTCTCATGCTATACGTACACTTAGTCAAAATACCACAACCGGGAATAGAACTAACCGACAAATGACAGATTAGGCGACTATTTTGGTATCATAAGACCTAAGATAGCAGAAACATGTAGCAAGTGAGGTAAGACACGGACATATCATATCGGTCAACCAATTCGTGATGGTGACCGTTAAAGTTATGGAGTATCGATTTTCAGTCGTTCTTCAACAAAACGTAGTAAGGGCAGTTTTTTTTCGTGTAAGGTGCACACCCCAGGTAATGTAGTCCGTGTAGAGTGAGCATGCACGAGCGTAGCGATTGAGATATTTAAACGGCATACGATGAAGTGGAGGGTATTATACTTCTGAAAAATGAGAAGTTGACAAATGGAAAGTTGAAATCATCATGTTTGTCATAGATTCTAGCTTGAAGTTGTCCATATGTGTCAATATTGAGGAAAAGATCATGAAATGAATATGAAGATATCAATACAATTATATCTCTCTGAAATTACTTTTAGACTCGGATATAAATTTGTAAATGTGATGTTTACTTCACCTGATGGTTGTTTGGTTCGACATGTTTTCAATATATTACCTGAAAGTGTTTTATGTAATATAGACATGTATTTGCCTACAGTTTATGTATTTGCCATACATAAATAGGTATGTCTTCAATAGCTGGGGACAGTTACCTGTGTGTCTTATCAATGTATTATGAAAGAAAGGCGGAAGATACCAAAGGAATATTCAAATTCATTAGTCGAAAACGAACTGACAATGCCATGGCAAAAAACGAATACGACTTAAATACAAACAACAAACTGTCTACGAACACAACATAGAAATCCAAAAGACTGAGTGACACGAACCAAAAATCGGGGGTAATCTGGAAGCGTAAACAGCTTTTGCTTCACATCGTATATGAGCTATGTTTCAGACATAAAAATATATTGGGTCCAAAGTATCAGTTTTATTTTCGGAATTTGTAAATCTAACGTATTAATTAATAAGATTCACAGCAAAGAATTTTGTCATGTGTAATATTCAAAATTGAAATGAATCGCTTTACAACCACTTCCTTTTTTATGGTTTCACAATCTATTACTGATAAATTGGAACACTTCTATGTTAAATAAGAATTGGGTAAAATATTCATATGTGCAAATAGTTGCAACTACCAGTTTTAATGTATTTTTATTGGTCAAAGTGATTAAGATAACGTAATATAGTAAGTATGGCATTATTATAGGTTATCAGATAGAAATAACTGAATTCCTCATTTCTAGAACTTGTGTTTGATCACCTCTCTTCTTAACAGGTATGACCTGCTTCAGAGATGTAAACAAACCTTGCTGTGAACCAGCTGTCTGTCAGTATCAAGCAGCATTAGAGAAAAGTATGCAAGTTTGGATGAGATGTTTTGAGGATGACAGATGTGAAGTATTCGAAGACGATTCTTCAGAAGAAGATGATGACGACAGCGACGAATCTGTGAAAAATTCAACTTCACAAGCAGTTAGAAAATTTAAAGTACCAAACCATTTAGTTCCCACAGTAAGATCAATGATTGCAAAACAAAACGATGATGATGATTCCGACGAAAGTGACGAAATTGAACTAGCAAAATTATTGAACAACAGCTTAATTCAAAATTTAACTAGAACCTTACTCGGCGACGACGATTCTGATGATGACAATGATAGCGAAAGCTCGGAAGAAGAAGCGCTTGCTGTCCTTCTACAAGAAATAATTAATAATTTAATGAACAAATCAAATACAACACCAAGTCCCACCAGTACAACAGTCTCGCCTACCTCTACGACTGAACCATTATTGAGTCTGTTTTATAACCCACAAACACACACTAATACATTATTGGACACCAAATGGCATTCGACTAATCATATTATGGACGTAAAACAGATGATATCCAACCAGGCTAAAAAATCAAACAGACATACGATATTTCAATCTTTAAAGAGAGGGCAATCGTCTCCAGTTTTACAATCACAACAGTCAACTCTCATGTCTGCGATGGGTCAATTACAAGGATTTGCCAACTCGGAAACCATGAAAACATTGAATTCGTTGCAGGCTAACAATATTTTATTAGGTGCTAGTCAAAGTAAATCTCATGGTTTTAGAGAGACAACAACTTTAGATCCACTTACGGCAATGATTGCAGAATCTATTGCATCTCAACTGATGATTCCCGTGCCAGCACCATCTCCACAGCTTAGAAAAAGTATTCCCATGGGTGAGGTGAATTTGCAACATCAATTGCCTGGGGGTGGTATGTTTAATTTGAAAATAAATTCAAACAATATAGCCACTACTACTCCAGTAATGCCCGGTTTTATAGCAGGGAACATAGATCCAAATAATAAACTTGCTCCTAAATTAAAACGTTTGCAATTACTTCTTGGTAAAAAGAAGACAAACGCTGCAAGGCCAGTACAACAGTACTTCCCATTAACAAGCACAACGATACCTCAAATGCAGCCAATAAGTAATGTTGTCAATGCTGCGGCAGCAAATCCAATGCTATACAATCAAATGAAAAACCAACAACAGCTGATGAATATGCTCATGCTTGGATCACAAACTGCTGAAACATCACAAAGTGTACAAACAAATAAACAAATGATGCAGATATTACAGTTGATAGGCCAATCACCACCACCACAGACAGCAACAACAACCGCAAACCCTGCAAATCAGATAGGAAATACAATAAGTAATTACAATGCAGCTAAAGCTTCACAGGCTATGAAACTCTTGAAATTTTTAAAGAAGAAAAAAGCCAACAGAAGATTGAAAAAGGCAAGAAAATCAAAATCTTCGAATAAATTTCTTCATTTTGATAAGATGGTCGTCAACAGTCTCGGGAAAAAAGATTCCTCAACGAGAAAGGCATTTAAGCAATTGCAGGCACTAAGATTAGCCTCACTGAAAGCAAATACATCGCTCTCTTATATGAAAATCAATAAGGTAAATGCAACAGAAGAGAGTGACGAATCGGATGAAAGCGATGAGTCAAACGAAAAAAATTCAACTTTAAATTTCTTGTATGCAATACAAAATCAAACAATAAAAGCATTCAAAGTCAAAGTAAATGAAAGTGAAGAGGACGATAGCGATGAATCTGACGAAGAAATAGACGCCTTGCTTGCAGAAATATTGATCGAACTTGGCAAAAAGCCAAACGTAACACAACCAACAAGTACTACTACTACTACTACTACTACCGTAAGTCCTACAACAGCTACTAGTACTACACCTGGTACCACTGGTACCACAGGTACAACGAATCCTGTTCCTTCATCTACGACGATGAATATATTTATTCAACACCTTCTCAAAAGACAATCAACACAAAATATAATTGGTCATCAGTTAGTGCGACAAAATGCACTTCAGACATCTCAACAAATGAAAACTCAAAACCTTGATTTAAAGAGCTTGGCATGGAACGATGTTGTTAATTACTTCAAGAACAAGAGGGCAGGGATTTAAGGTTAAATACTATAATCTATACACTCTCTGGTGAAAATAGTTGAATGAAGTTACATTTAAATCTTACAACGGTCATACATTTTCATTATCCTTTTCTATCTAAAGTCATTGAATCTTCTATGACATGAGACATACATTGCAACAAATAATTACATGGAAAGTACTCGAATATTGATAAGTTTTACAGATTGTGGGAAAGTGAGGTAAACGCAGAAGTTTGTATAATGTCATACAAATGCTAAAAGCGAACAAAGTGAAATGCCTTCACTGTTCAATAAATATTTTTGAATAAATAATTATTGCAGAGTTATCGAACACATCTTAGTGTGTTTTCGCTTTTTAATTGATACCACACAAGTCAGGTAACACGCACATAGAGAATTTTGAAATGTTTAAGCGTAGTATATTAAGCTTGAGTAAGTTTAGGTAAATTAGAACCGAAATTTCCATTGTGGTGGGACTTCATGGAAATATGTATTGCAATAATATTTAAGCATTTTTGTGCAATTCGTTTAACAGTAAAAACGTAGTACAGAAAATATTGCTTTGAAACAATTGTAATTGTAAAAAATGTTTCCAAGACCAGATAATGGATTAGATCATTCTTCTATAGTGAATGTTTTGTTGTAGTAAAAAAATATGTATGTAACCTTTTATGACTAATATTAATTTCTTTTAAAATAAATGTATGATATTTTCAACAGTAGTTTTCCCTGATATTTGATTTTCTTTTTTCTCATTGCATATTCACTTATTCGTTTCCTTTTTTCCCTAAAAATAATACAACTTCTATTGTTTAAATAACACAACGCCAATCTTATATATGACGATAGTCTAAATAACGAGTTACAATAAGATATACATATATCTCACGGAATCTTAAGTTAAATGTAATAACTGTTAAATTTTCAGAGAAATAAATAGGCTTTTGCTCGATAAAAATCAATGTTCAAAAGCCACATTATTCATCGTAGCACTTAGATGGTATACGAATAACTTTTTCAATATTCAATATACATTTGAATTATTCTAGTTTACTCGTGTGACCAATTCTTCAGTACAGGTATTTAAAAATGACGTAGAGGTGAGAACAAATGTAATGTAAACACAGTGTTCATTATATAAAACTATTTTTAAACAGATTTACAGTACACGAATTTTTGTATAAACACGTCAGAATAACACACACACAAAAATGAATAATTATATACATATATTACTAAAAATTAAAAAGAAACAAAATAAGTTTTCAAATTGCTGTATCGTCTTGCTTTCCTCCAACTTTATGCTTTTAAGGATTGTCTTGGCATAGCTATACATATATATATATATATATATATACATATAGACAATATCATTTTAAAAACTCTTCTTATAAAAATAGGGAGATGTGGTATGATTGCCAATGAGACAACTATTCACCAAAGTTCAAATCAAGTAGATGTAAGCAATTAGAGGCAACGGCACGGCCTTTAGCAATGAGAAAAACCCGGCTATAAAAGGCCCCGACATAAAAATATATATGAACAATTCAATTCAGAAAACTAACGGCCTAATTTATAAATAGAAAGACAGACATGAACACACTTCCTGTTGTCAGAAAGAAAAACAAATAAGCCTCTAACCCCACTCTCAACTTTTCATCGAATGAGAACAGATGTATATGTATATGAACAAGGCCACATTTGAATACTGTTGATAATGTAGGCAGGAGTGATTCCTCTCTGTTCTTGTCTGGCTTGACGTTGCCTTTCTTTACTCCAATATATCATAGGAAGACGTCACTGAAGCCGGTCGGGAAATGTTGGAATCGAGCAGTACTTTGGATGCAACAGCTGAATGATTACTCCAGAACTATGCCAATGCCTTAAGATAATAAGGAAAAAAGAAAAGTATTTTTTTAATATTTCACTTTAGCAACTTCCCTCTAGGTTAAGATCCATTTAAAAGATGACATGAAGATGAATTTCATTGAACCAACAACGCTCATTCCCGAATATGATTAAGTTACTAAATTTCTGTTTTATTCATCGACACTACTACACAAAAACAACATCAAAGAAAACAGGCATAATTTGGTACGCCAGACACACGTTTCGTTTACACAAAACTCATTTCGAATCAAGACAGTTAAAGGGCCAAATCAATTGCGAAATTAAAGAGCATTAAAAAACCAGCATCTTGAAAGGTTGTGGCCAAAATGGTCATGGCAATCTATGCCTAGGGTAGAAAAACCTTAGTGTTTCGAATAATCTAACATGTCACAAACCGTAAATGTACATGTTGTGCTGTAACACCACTGTTCAAGGTAAGGGGAGGGTTGAGCGCTCACAAACATGTTTAACCCCGCCACATTCTTTATGTGCCTGTCCCAAGTCAGGAGCCTGAAGTTCAGTGGTTGTCGTTGGTCATATTTGTTTTTCGTAAATTGTTTTGTTAAAAATTATGCCGTTAGTTTTCTCAATTGAATTGTTTCATATTTTTCACGTCGGGGCCTTTTATAGCCGACTATACGGTATGGGTTTTTCTCATTGTTGCAGGCCGTACGGTTGCCTATAATTGCTTACATCCACTTCATTTGAACGTTGGTGGATATTTGTCTCATTGGCAATCATACCACATCTCCTTACTTTTATATAAACTGAACACATTAATGTAAGTTCATGTCAACACAAACGTGCTGACTACTGGACTTAACACTTGTGATAACCTCGAGGACAAAACGTCCACCAGCAGTAGTATCGACTGAGTGGTTGTAAAATCTCATCCAAGATACTAGGTATATCATTTCGTACGCCAGATGCGCTTTTTGTCTACGCAAGATTCATCAGTGGCACTCGAATCATAACAGTTGGAAGACCAAACCAATTACATATTGAAGAGCATTAAAAACCAAACAAAATTTAAAAATTGTTCAAAACAGGGCTTATGCGGCGTAGGCATCTATACTTAGGGGTTGAAAAACCATATTGTTTCGAATGATTCCACATTTCATAAACAGTAAATTTACAGAAAATAAGCATTTCAGTAATAGTTAATGTCAACACAAAAGATCCACCAGCAGTGGCATCGACCCAGTGTTTGTTGAAACTCATCAAAGATACAAGGCGTATAATTTCGTTCCCCAGACGCACAAGACTCACCAGTGGCGCTCGAAATAAAACATCTGGAAGGCCAAATCAGTTACGAGATTGGAATGCCTTAAAACCGAAAATTCAGTACATTTGTATCAAATACGGCTAAGGCAATCTATGCCTGGGTGTAGAAAAACCTTAGTGTTACAAACAATTCAACATTTCATAAACAGTGCATTTACAGAAAATTGATATATCAATAATATTTCATGTCAACACAAAAGTTCTGACTACTGGGTTGGTGATACCCTCGGGGAGGAGACGTCCACTATCGACCCAGTGGTTGTAAAAACTCATCAAAAACAATAGGCGTATAATTTGCTACGCAAAACGGGCATTTTGTAAACAGTAAATTTACAGAAAATAAACATACCTGAAATGCAAACTAAGCGTTACTGAAAATTATTAACATTAAGACATAAACAATAGAAAATGATTTAGGGAAGGATCTGACGATAAACTTTGATACATCACTTCATATACTAGTATCCATTAATTCATTACAAATTACTGTAGACATTGATTTTGTTATCAACTTTCATACCAGTTAACCGCTTAATCGGTCGGAAGACTCTCAGAGAATCCAATCTGTGTTTTGCTCATTATTGAAGGCCGAATTCCCTGCACCAAGTATGCAGAATACTAGAATGCAGTGTCACAAGTAGATTTTCATGCAGCGAGTGTTAGTAGAATTGTTTTATCAAAATTGGTGCAAGTAATTAATATATCAATGTATTTTATTTCGTTTTTATTTTTATGAGTCACTATTATATTATATTGAATATTGCTTTATCAGCAAATAATACAATATATGAACTTCCATTTCGTGTTCTATACTAGGGCGAAAATATTTGTCAAAATATTTGAAAACTCAAAACTTTTTAGAAAATTCAAGAGCTGATAAAACCAAAAAGTCTATAAAGTATTATTAAAGCCGAGCAAGGAATTAGAGCTTTGCATGAGAGAGATATATTCTTCAATAATTAAAATAATTAAAATAATTTCACAAATTTCGTAACAGCAATATATGTATTTTCATGCCAGGTTATGTTAAGTATCTAAGTATCAATTATTTTATCGATGTGCAGTGTATTATTTACATATCTGTTGTCGATACTTTTGCTTGGTTCCTTAACAATATTTTTTACAATACCAGCAAGATAATAGGTATCACAAAAAAGATTTAACACTACAGAAAATCTGCAAATCAAATGCCAAAATACAAATAAAAACTCGTTATCTTGACTCTATGTAGCCATAAAAAATGTAGAGATTGAATATGTTTAGCTTTAGGTGATATTTGTATATGTTGACCATGAAATCTAGCTTCTTCATGTTCTTTAGGTATATCTTTTTTACTAATCTTGCAAGATGGCATTTGTTAATTGGTTCATTAATTAATGTCTCCACATATCGATCTTGTATCTTGAAAGCTGGTTAATCATTATTTTGCATATTGTATAATGTTTATTTGCAGGGTTTTAAGAGAATTAATAATTTCTTTCTATTAAAACTCATCAAAGATTTCATATCAACACAATATTACTGACTTCTAAGCTGGTGATACTCTATATCGGTGCTTTGTGTCTATTGTTTTATGTTAGTTGTTATAGATCTTTTAAGTTCAACGAAAAGAAGATAGTTTTAAGTAGAGTATGAAATTTTGCGTTCAACGGGCCAGTTAGGAACAGATAACATTCAAACCATTCACACCAATACAAACTTACAGCTATCATTTCGGATATTGCAAGTCACAGACTTTTCAAACCAGTTCGCTTTGGAAAAGATGAAAAAAAGAAAAGATCTTTTCTTAAACTTTCCTTTGCCAACAAAGGTCTCGATGGCGTCAACTTAGGCAATATCCTTCATCATAAATTAGTTCAGTCGAAAATACCTCCTTATTTTAAAGATCAGTCTGTACCAATAATTTCTTATACCTATACCAAACCAATTACAACTAAAATTTTCAATTACAAACACGTTTTGCAGGATCTCAACATTGACGACTTCAAGTCTTAACCTCATGATTGCAACTGTGCTAGTTCCCAATTCACATATAATCCGGCTGGCCACGTTATTACCGGAGACCTCAACATTGTCAATAACACTTCCATGCGAAATTTGTTACTAGTATTCAAAGGTCCGAAATATCGTGAACCTAAATCCATCAATTGGAAATACAACTTCAAAATACTGATGGATTCAGTCGAGGATTATGCCAGGCAATGGGCTAAACGCGAGAAAGAAGACGTAGATACTCTTTCCGAATGGTTTAAGGCTGTGAGGTCGTTGATACAAATCCGAATTAAGAAACTAAATGGGCCTATCAATACCTACGCTACGTCAATTTTTAAAGACCTAAATGTTGCAAAACACTTGTCCTACCTCCATGACAAATATGTTGTTGTCCCCGCAGATAAAGCCCCAAACAACATCGTTTTTGTGTGTAAATATCATTACATAAACTGCTTGATAAATGAATTAGGTATTGACAATTCACTTGGAAACTCAACATATATCCTCACGACACTTACCAAAGAGGAAATCCTGGATAATTATAGGTCTGT